TGCAAGCTGAACTTGATTTCTTTCTTGTAATCTCTGCGCTGTATCTTTTTGAGGCTGGATTTGAAGCATGAATATTTCTATGTGTAAATTTTTACCCCCCCATAAAATGTTTCTGTGTTTTGAGTCTAGATTCACAGGAGTGGCATACTAGAGTCTTTTCTTTCGGTATGTCCTCCTTGCACATGCATGGAGGAGACACTAGATCTGATAAGACTGATCAATGTCTGTGTGATGTGTCTAACATTTTTCAGACAAAGTGTCAAGCAAAAAAATATTTTAAATAAATACCTAGTGATGAATGTAGTTTAAGTCAATGTAGATTTGAAAATGCATTCCAAGCCGATCAAACCCCCACCCTGTCAATCATTAGATCAAGGTGAGGCTTGCATTGCGTTGTCTGGGGTATTTTGAGAATTGGCGGCAAATATAGAACATGGAGGAGACGGATTTCTCCAAGAATTTTATTTTTACTTCCATTTTATATTTTATTCCTCTATTTCCCATAGCAACTAATCGTCCCGCCTGCCTCTCACTGTTTATTATTGCAAGTGAACAAATAGACATTGCAAACCTACACTTATTTACCTATTTGCCACCTTACCTCATATTTTATCCCTCTCTTCTAATCCATAATGAAGCACACAGCACCTAAGCATTGTGCCTGCCCCAAGATCATTCACTGATTACGTTCCTATTGATTGTCTGAGACAATGCAAATGCATCCAATAGTGCCATGCTATAAGAAAGTGCAGAACCAAGCCGCTCTGTGAGCCCAGTCCCAGAGCGCCCATAATTTAGGTTCCTAAAAAGCATGAGCCAATTATGAGACCCAAGCCACCAGGCTGGAGTTTACATAGCAATACCTTCTCCACATATACAAGGTGATTAGGTAAATTAGGCAGACAAAATCTGTGCCTGAAGGGCAAGGATGTCCAAGTTATAAAACCTGGTGAAGATAGACAGTGAAGACCAGTCAGGAGCCGTACAGATATCATCAAAAGAAACTTATCTGGACCAAGCCCAGTAGGAGGCCATTCCTTTGGTGGAGTGGGCCTTCACTACAATAGGACCAATAATTTGGCCAACTGAAGAAGCTCAAAGGGAGGGCCTCGTAGGGCCCTAAGGACTATGGATAAGTCCCATGTCCACAAGGAATGAGGACGAAGCAAATTCAGTCTCCGAGCTCCACTCATGAACTTAATGACAAGATCGTTTTTGCCAATTGATTGGTCAGCCATGAGAACGTAATTCGCCGTGATGGTTGCCACATATACTTTGAGCATGGAAGGGGTACACCCCCCTTATCCAGCAGCTCTTGCAGAAATGTTAGCATGGCTGACGCATCACAAGAGGACAGGTCCTTGTTCCGTGCTGCCCACCAGTCAGAAAAGATTGACCACTTAAGGGTGTAGAGAAGTCTTGTAGATGGGGCTCTAGCCTCCAAAATGGTGATAGTCACTCTCGCGGAGAGTTGAAAAGACTCCCGTTTAGGGGTTAAACATGAAGGCTCCACAGCTTGGGCTGGGGATGCCAGATCATGCTTCTCACTTGAGAGAGAAGGTCCTTCCTCAATTGAATTGGCCAAGGAGCTGCTGATAGCAGCTGGATTAAATCGGGGAACCATGTCTGATTCCTCTAGAGAGTGGCTACCAGGAGGAATAAGCACCTGACTTCCCTGACTCATCTGATGACCTGAGGGAGCAGGGGAATCAGAGAAGGTATACAGCTGAGCGCTGGGCTATTTGTGGGCCAGAGCATCTCAAATCTTCAAGAAATGTGTTGGGCAGTGAAAGTTGTTTTCCGTCTCTGCCCTCCCAAAGACAGACCAAATCATTTGAACCACTTGAGGGTGTACTGTAGTCTCCATTCTCCTGGAGCTACATTGCCCCAAGACAGCATGTCCACTCCTTGGTTCAGTCTGCCTGGCACGTGAACTGCCCTCAGTGAGAGTGGGTTGCACTGTGCCCATAGGACAAGGCGTTTCGCCATCCTGTAAAGGGAGCATGACCTGACACCACCTTGGTGATTTATAAAGGCTACCACCGTCATGTTGTCTGAATCGACCAGGGCACGGTGCCCTTTTATGGCTGGCAGGAAGGTTTTTAGGGCTAGAAAAATCGCTATCATCACCAATCTGCCATTGTGCAGTGCTCCCCTACCTGAGTTGGAGGCATCTGTCATGACCACCTTCCTTCTGGGGGTCAGTCCCAGTGGGACCTCTGTCGGAAATAGGCAAGGGGCCTTCCAAGGGACCACAGCTCTGAAGTAGCAGTGTGTCACCTTGAGGCAAAGAAGTCCCTGGTGCGAAGCGTGGGAGAGTAATGGGCTTTGAGCCAAAATTAGAGGGGCTGCATGCGAAACAGGCCCAATGGAATCGCAGAGGATCGCTGACATGAGGCTGAGCATCCTCTGGAAAACTCTGAGGGGATGAGATGTCCCCATCTGAATAATGCCACTAGTCGCTGAATTGTCAGTGAGTGCTCTGGCATAAACCAGGCTCACATCTGCAGATGAGGGGTGCTGACACCCATGTGTGAAATACACTGGCGGATCGAGGCACTGCATGGGAGAATGAGGCAAGTGGGACCTGTGCCGGTGTGAGTTCACTCGAGCCTGATAAATCAGTCCCGTTGCCCCACTGTATCTTCCTCCGAGGCTCCTGAGAGGGGAGAAATGGGAGAGCAGACGGGGGAGGACCACCTTCGTGAAAGAAGGTGATCCACGAGTGAAGCAGGGTAAGACTCATGCTCTCGCAGTGAGAGCAGTCTGTCCCAGTGAGTGCAGTCTCAGTGTGGGTGCTTCCCAGGCAAGCGATGCACTCACTGTGCCCGTCTTAGGTGTGCAGGGGTTAACTGCACGAGCCAGTCTAGTGTTAGAGTCCTTTTTTTTTTTTTTTAAAGAAAACAAGCAGTTAGAAAATGAATAAAGAGTGCAACTTTCCTAAAACACTACACTTTCCTAAAATCTGTACACTTACATTTCTACAGAAGTCACAGTGTTTACTTTTAAAAGTAGCTAAAATGACTGAGACAACCAAACAGATAAGTCCGTTTTTAACTTTCATTTTTAAAAATGAGTAAGCACACAATTCATATGTCCTGTGGATACCAAAATTTGCGTAAACAGCACATATAACAATTCCATCATATACCTAGAACTTGATTGTTGAATGACATATCAAAAGTCCTCAGAGAAACAGTTTTTTTTTTCATCAAGAAATAGTACACAAAACAACTAAAGAAATGTAAAAATATACATATAGCTGAAAAGTTAACAAGCTATTAAAACAAACAAGTTTACTTGCACAAACTGATTATGTCATGATGGAACAGACCAGACCAAAGATTGCATGCATGTGCACAGGGCTCACAGTGCATCCTGAGTATACTACAAACAAAAAGTGCTCTTAACTGTGATAGTACATTACAGATCCAGCACTGTTTGATCAAAGTACTTATGGCTGTTGAATTGCAAGGGTCATTAGAGCACATTTGTACTGCTTCCTAATGACTTAATGGATATCAATATCTGGGCTACAATCACTTAAAATAGACATGAAAGAAGAACTATTTTGTCGCTTGCACTGTCTCTTAGGGAATGAGCTAGCATCTGATTAGTGGCCTTTTATATTTTGCATGGTATCAATCTTTCTACATCTAATCTATTTATTACTGCATCTATACCATTAAAGGAACAGTTGACCAAATGTCCTCTACTTTGTAGTGGTCATAACACACACACCCTCAGGTCTAGTCTTTGTGTACGTGTTAAATAGCGATGCATCAGTACATGATTAATGACTCTGACATGCCTTTTTTGTAATCTGAATGTGAACGCAGACTTACCACTGAATTTACTGAATCAAATTAATTTTGTGGTGCTGCTATGAAAATAACTGTTTAAAATGGGCACTTTTGTGTTCCACAGCATTGCTTTAATGTTGTCCTCACATTCAAACCAAAAGCTTCATCTACACGTCTTTCACCATCAGACTGCCCTTTAACATTGTTACACAAAAATCACACTATTAAGACAGAATCTTTATGAATGTTAATGAGAGGTTCATGACGAGTGTGTTAGGATGACTCTCTGAACCACCAGCCTGAAATAATAATACAAAAAAAAAAAAGATAAACTGTGTTTGGTCTGTCACCTTCAATTAAACTCAGTTTAATTGGTGTGAAATGACCAAGAATTCGAGCCACGTAAGACGCCGTGGCGAATGGGCTTGCTACGTCATGCTCGCCCCGCGAGTCAATGCTAGCTGAAGGACAGCGAATCAATGACTGTCAACACTGAGCCTCTTCTACAAACATACAGCCAACGTTTGGGGTGGTCATAAACATCTTCTATCCATTAGAACAGTACTCTACAGTAATCTGCACAGAGCCAAGAGCCGATGTGTAAAAACATTTCACAGCACATTGGCTTACCTTGGCTTAATTCTACAAGTACAGAAATGACTAATGTGACAAAGAGTGAGGCAATACAACATTTTCATCTAGATTTAGATACACTCTGATACAAAACTCAGTTTTTAATCATGACGTTAAATTGTGATGGAGTCAATGCTAGCTGAAGGACAGCGAATCACAGCGTATCTGTCAACACTGAGCCTCTTCTACAAACATACAGCCAACGTTTGGGGTGGTCATAAACATCTTCTATCCATTAGAACAGTACTCTACAGTAATCTGCACAGAGCCAAGAGCCAATGTGTAAAAACATTTCACAGCACATTGGCTTACCTTGGCTTAATTCTACAAGTACAGAAATGACTAATGTGACAAAGAGTGAGGCAATACAACATTTTCATCTAGATTTAGATACACTCTGATACAAAACTCAGTTTTTAATCATGACGTTAAATTGTGATGGGTTACCTGCTTGTGCAAAAAAGCAACACTACAAATGTGATAATAGATCTCTCTTTAAAAATAATGGCAAACATATTTGTTTCTTCACTTTCTGTCTGTTGTGACGGTGATGTCTGTGTCCTGGGTTTAGAAATGTGTCTCCTTCTCTGTGATGGTGGAGATCTTGCCATCCGCCCTCATTTTGGCATCAGCGTCATTGATAGCGCAGGGACCCTTGGAGCTGAGGCGTCCCCTCATTATCAGGTCAGCGCTGGGTGTGGTCAGCTTTTTGATCCTCTGCAATTACATTCGAATGATAATAAACAGTGTGAGTGCGTTTGAGGAACGTTACAAAGCACACAGAGCTGCTGTCCTGTTCTTACAGTACAGTAGCTTACATTTGTGAGATGCTACAAGAATATATTACTATATAAGCAAGGGTTGAAGGTTAATACGTTCCCATTAGCCCATGCTCTGATGCTGTTTTGAGAAAAAGTGTATTTCTAGGTCTTTGCTATCACAGCTTGTGACAGTCAGTAGAGAAATGTTTGAGCTCGTGCTGCTGTGCTTCCGCCATTTCATTTTGCCATACCATTTTTCTGCTACTCCAGATGGAACAATCACATGACATTTACGGCTCAGGTGATAGGCTCAAAACAATCTGTGGTCCCACATGCAAAGATGCAGGACTCATGTGCCAGCTGAGCAGCTGCCATTGAAAAGAACTGGAATGCTTATCCAGGTATCAGACCAACTTGTTTATTATTCTGTACTTTTTTTACACTGAAAAAATGAGTAGTTTCTAGAGAATACATATACAATTGTTTCTTTTTTTGGATAAATCACTTGTTCCTCCTGGTTTTAAGAATATGACAAACACTTTCCAATGGAGTAAAAAAATAAACTTAAGGTATATTGCTCTGCAAACAAGTCTTATCTTCTTGCTTGCTTTAAAGGTATTTAGATTGTTGGTGGAAATCAATGCAAAATTAGTGATTGAGACACAGTGTAGTACAATAACCTCACCACATGCTTTCTGAAGTAGACACAATCAATAAGACATGGCACAATGGGGTCAGGTCAGGGCAGCGCCCGCGTCACTCCCGCTGCGCCACAACAACTTTCATCTTTGAAATCATGTCATTGCACCTCAAGAAATATGATGTTTTTTCTCTCAAGTACATGCTGAAAAATGCACTTTCTAGCTTCTATCTTAAATCGTTGGCAGCAGCATGAGAGGTTCAGTCGGGTGAATCAAGGACAGTGAAGGAGGTAGGAAATGATGACTCATGCCTACAGTGATGTTTATCGGGTACAAAGAGCAATGCAGAAATCTGAATATATGCTAAAAGACTGAATGAATCGAAGAAGGCATGCTCATAACTGACAGTATAGCTTGATTGGAAGCTAATCATAAAAAATATTTTTTTGGAAAATTAAAGAAACATTATGTAAAAATAAGAAAACACATATTAATATTGTGCTCTACTATCTACATAATGTCCATGCTCACAATAAAAATGAAAAAAAAGGTCTTTACCTCACGGAAACTTCCTTCCGTCTTCCAGATCTGAAATAAGATTCCCAGAGGGATGCAGACCATAGAGGACATGGCCATCATCCAGCCAATGCCATAACCCCAGTCTGGATATGTGTACACATTATTATACTTCAGCGGTTTGTACTTGATCAAGAAGAACAGAAAGATGCCCTGAAAAAACAATTATACGGCCAATAATTAACATTTATCACTCATAGCCTGTAAACATCTTGACTCTCTGTACATCCAATTCAACTCACAGCACAGATGCCTGGTGTGAAGTACTTCCAGCACCATTTGATGAAGAATATGGGCTTGTATCCAATCATGTCCTCAATGTTCGAATAAAACCTGTCGCTACCTGAGGATAAAGATTACACTTTTCACTCAAAACGTCACATTTTATGTATTTACATACTACAAAAATAACACTTGTATTTAAAGGACACTGGAATTCACTGTATCTCTGCTGCAAACATATTTCAATGATTCATTACATGCACTGTCTGGCTCTTGCCAGCAGATGGCATAATGGTTATAAAAATGTGATGATACTGTGAACAGCCTCACCATCGACAGAAATAATTCAGACAGAAAAGCATCTACTGGCATGGCACAATGTGTTACAAGACCTAATTCAATAGGAAGTTCATGGGCTTATCGCAGGCTATCACTTCTTCAGGTGATTAAATATAAAGATATGCTCTCATTGTATTTAAATGTTTAACATTTGGCTGTTAAAGGGTAAAAACTGCATTAGAGTGAGGATGTCGATACTATAGATGCTTAGTAATAAAGATGTTAAGTGACGAACATTGTTACACACCAAAACAAAGCGATCTCTTACCATAGATCCAGCCAATGCAGATGGACTCAAAGATGGCCACAAACAACAGACACATGCCACTGGCTGCATACGAGTCAAAGAGCTGGAACACGTACATGCCACCCTAACAGAGCAGAGTCACGCATAGTCAGAGGAATACAGGACAAACACACAAGACAACAGAGTATGTAGCCGTGGCATGAGACATAAACAATATCAGGATGCTCACACACGCTCAATGCATTTTATGGATCTAGGAGAGCACTACTGGCATACGGAAAATGGCAAAGCTTTAAGAGCATCCTCATCTCCCTCTCATCCTAGTAACAGAGAATGTCTGACATTCCACACAGGAGAGGCTTCGTTCCACAGTCGGATGGCTTTATTCATGAAACGCAGAGTGAAAGTGTTCACCTGACTGCACATTACTGGCAGAGAGCTTCCTCCTGTCTCAGCCTGAATGCAGGCCTATTTTTACCCTCACTCCAGCCATAAATGCAAAACAGGAAACCACAGTAACATGCCAGGTGCTGACAGCAATATGCCAAGACACCATCGTTACAGGGAAAAATCCACTACAAATCATGTTTTTTTACACGTTAAAAACTGTTTACCAGCATCGAGAGGCATGTGTTCCATTAACTAAATTAATCCAAGCATGTCCGTAAGGACAAACCAACATGATCATGTAAACAGCAAATATGCTTGTCCTTGACAAATAAGACACCTGGATTTTTCATTGTCGTGTATTATGCTTTTTTTATGAGATTAATTATTGTGTCGACACGTGCTTACAACAGATCCACCTGGAGAAGACTGGGATGGAAAACTGTGTCGCTCTAAACATCGGCACTGAGAAACATAAATCAAGGGTGATACTAATGACACTGGAAGGAACACGTTTGTACACAACAATACGACTTTACCTCTGTCAACATTATTAGACCCACGAAGAACGAAGCCACAGACATTCCCAGGATGAGAAGCTCTCGCCGATAACCCACACGGAAGGTTTTGGGATACATGTCCACGATTGCAGTCACAAGACTCTCCACACACACAAACTACAGAGAGGAATGTGACACAGGGTTATTACCGTTACCTACAACTAAAACCATAACAATTTTTTGAAATAGAAAAACAATAACTGAAAAAAAATGTATGCATGTACTGTATATATATCAATGATTTTGAAAACTTTTTTTTTCTCTCTCCAGAGGTTGACCCAACTCCAAGGTAAGGCTATAGCCTAAGTAATGTTAGTGTAATCTGTTAACAATGCACATCATAAACCCGTCTTTTTTTTAGGCAAGTACCAGATAATGGGTGTCATGTCATGAAACGTTTTTATATGACAGAAACTGTATTTAACGTGATCAAAATTCAGTAAAACATTCTAAATCAGGACTATTAATTGTAATAATTTAATTTCCATGGTTATTCAAGCAACTAATAAATTATATAGTGAAAGCAAGCAAAGAACACCGTATCAGCTGAGCTTTTTGAAACTCTGAATTAGTTAAACCTGTGCGTTACAAAATGTTTCGAAGCGCTCCAATCAGATCGTGTATCACGAATCATTTGATTCAGATCGGGACTTCGGAGCAAGTTCGCGGGATGTTTTTTTAAGATTAATTAAAAATAATTCAGCAGAGTGTCTTTAAAAGCTCTGTTTTGTGCAGAACTACTTCCTTCCACCACGGATTCAAATCTAAAGTTGACGGTTAAACAGCTGTGCCCAAGCCTCTGTTACTTATTCCAAAACGTCTCTTTAGAACTAGTAACGAAGGAACGTTAAGTTGCTTCATTGAAAGCAAGTATTACTGCATTAAAAGTTCACTGTATTATGTATAGTAGAGTATTATAAGAGTATTATAACATTCATTCTTCAGCTCGATCTCATATTCACAATAAAACATTAGTTTGAATGTGCGCTAAGGAAAGCAATAGGCTCTTTGTCGTACTATCCTTTCGGTGTTGTTCCAAGGTGTTGTTGAAAGTAAAAATAACTTGTTTACAACCCTGTTTCAGTCTCATCATAAAATTTGCTAGGCAATTCAGTCAAAAGTACAAAGGCAGCGCTCTGATATACAGCACTGAAGTTACATAAAATATAACGTGATGAGATTTTGCCCTCAGCCAAAACTATTTGCTCTGGAACAAATAATAGATTCATGAGACCAAAGACTGCCTGCTAGATTTACCCAAAACAAATTATATCTCATGTTTAACCACTATAGAGACATCAGAAGAACTGGAATATTGAAGTCTAAACAACTGCATTCTTGCCTAAAAACCTCTTAAAACTACATTCTGTGACACAAAAACATTATTATTTATAAAATTATAGTGGATTTGGGTGTCCACCATGATACTCGCTAAATACCGCAAGCCGAGTGATACAAACGGTGAAATAGTTGGAGTTCTGTTATCACTAGAATATCGCACTGCTGGAAAAAGATTATCAGCCAATCAGATTCGAGAACCAGAAGGAATTGTTGTATGTGTATGTGTGTACAGTATATACTTGTAAATACATATGTATCTATGTATAGGACATGGCCATCATCCAGCCAATGCCATAACCCCAGTCTGGATATGTGTACACATTATTATACTTCAGCGGTTTGTACTTGATCAAGAAGAACAGAAAGATGCCCTGAAAAAACAATTATACGGCCAATAATTAACATTTATCACTCATAGCCTGTAAACATCTTGACTCTCTGTACATCCAATTCAACTCACAGCACAGATGCCTGGTGTGAAGTACTTCCAGCACCATTTGATGAAGAATATGGGCTTGTATCCAATCATGTCCTCAATGTTCGAATAAAACCTGTCGCTACCTGAGGATAAAGATTACACTTTTCACTCAAAACGTCACATTTTATGTATTTACATACTACAAAAATAACACTTGTATTTAAAGGACACTGGAATTCACTGTATCTCTGCTGCAAACATATTTCAATGATTCATTACATGCACTGTCTGGCTCTTGCCAGCAGATGGCATAATGGTTATAAAAATGTGATGATACTGTGAACAGCCTCACCATCGACAGAAATAATTCAGACAGAAAAGCATCTACTGGCATGGCACAATGTGTTACAAGACCTAATTCAATAGGAAGTTCATGGGCTTATCGCAGGCTATCACTTCTTCAGGTGATTAAATATAAAGATATGCTCTCATTGTATTTAAATGTTTAACATTTGGCTGTTAAAGGGTAAAAACTGCATTAGAGTGAGGATGTCGATACTATAGATGCTTAGTAATAAAGATGTTAAGTGACGAACATTGTTACACACCAAAACAAAGCGATCTCTTACCATAGATCCAGCCAATGCAGATGGACTCAAAGATGGCCACAAACAACAGACACATGCCACTGGCTGCATACGAGTCAAAGAGCTGGAACACGTACATGCCACCCTAACAGAGCAGAGTCACGCATAGTCAGAGGAATACAGGACAAACACACAAGACAACAGAGTATGTAGCCGTGGCATGAGACATAAACAATATCAGGATGCTCACACACGCTCAATGCATTTTATGGATCTAGGAGAGCACTACTGGCATACGGAAAATGGCAAAGCTTTAAGAGCATCCTCATCTCCCTCTCATCCTAGTAACAGAGAATGTCTGACATTCCACACAGGAGAGGCTTCGTTCCACAGTCGGATGGCTTTATTCATGAAACGCAGAGTGAAAGTGTTCACCTGACTGCACATTACTGGCAGAGAGCTTCCTCCTGTCTCAGCCTGAATGCAGGCCTATTTTTACCCTCACTCCAGCCATAAATGCAAAACAGGAAACCACAGTAACATGCCAGGTGCTGACAGCAATATGCCAAGACACCATCGTTACAGGGAAAAATCCACTACAAATCATGTTTTTTTACACGTTAAAAACTGTTTACCAGCATCGAGAGGCATGTGTTCCATTAACTAAATTAATCCAAGCATGTCCGTAAGGACAAACCAACATGATCATGTAAACAGCAAATATGCTTGTCCTTGACAAATAAGACACCTGGATTTTTCATTGTCGTGTATTATGCTTTTTTTATGAGATTAATTATTGTGTCGACACGTGCTTACAACAGATCCACCTGGAGAAGACTGGGATGGAAAACTGTGTCGCTCTAAACATCGGCACTGAGAAACATAAATCAAGGGTGATACTAATGACACTGGAAGGAACACGTTTGTACACAACAATACGACTTTACCTCTGTCAACATTATTAGACCCACGAAGAACGAAGCCACAGACATTCCCAGGATGAGAAGCTCTCGCCGATAACCCACACGGAAGGTTTTGGGATACATGTCCACGATTGCAGTCACAAGACTCTCCACACACACAAACTACAGAGAGGAATGTGACACAGGGTTATTACCGTTACCTACAACTAAAACCATAACAATTTTTTGAAATAGAAAAACAATAACTGAAAAAAAATGTATGCATGTACTGTATATATATCAATGATTTTGAAAACTTTTTTTTTCTCTCTCCAGAGGTTGACCCAACTCCAAGGTAAGGCTATAGCCTAAGTAATGTTAGTGTAATCTGTTAACAATGCACATCATAAACCCGTCTTTTTTTTAGGCAAGTACCAGATAATGGGTGTCATGTCATGAAACGTTTTTATATGACAGAAACTGTATTTAACGTGATCAAAATTCAGTAAAACATTCTAAATCAGGACTATTAATTGTAATAATTTAATTTCCATGGTTATTCAAGCAACTAATAAATTATATAGTGAAAGCAAGCAAAGAACACCGTATCAGCTGAGCTTTTTGAAACTCTGAATTAGTTAAACCTGTGCGTTACAAAATGTTTCGAAGCGCTCCAATCAGATCGTGTATCGCGAATCATTTGATTCAGATCGGGACTTCGGAGCAAGTTCGTGGGATGTTTTTTTAAGATTAATTAAAAATAATTCAGCAGAGTGTCTTTAAAAGCTCTGTTTTGTGCAGACCTACTTCCTTCCACCACGGATTCAAATCTAAAGTTGACGGTTAAACAGCTGTGCCCAAGCCTCTGTTACTTATTCCAAAACGTCTCTTTAGAACTAGTAACGAAGGAACGTTAAGTTGCTTCATTGAAAGCAAGTATTACTGCATTAAAAGTTCACTGTATTATGTATAGTAGAGTATTATAAGAGTATTATAACATTCATTCTTCAGCTCGATCTCATATTCACAATAAAACATTAGTTTGAATGTGCGCTAAGGAAAGCAATAGGCTCTTTGTCGTACTATCCTTTCGGTGTTGTTCCAAGGTGTTGTTGAAAGTAAAAATAACTTGTTTACAACCCTGTTTCAGTCTCATCATAAAATTTGCTAGGCAATTCAGTCAAAAGTACAAAGGCAGCGCTCTGATATACAGCACTGAAGTTACATAAAATATAACGTGATGAGATTTTGCCCTCAGCCAAAACTATTTGCTCTGGAACAAATAATAGATTCATGAGACCAAAGACTGCCTGCTAGATTTACCCAAAACAAATTATATCTCATGTTTAACCACTATAGAGACATCAGAAGAACTGGAATATTGAAGTCTAAACAACTGCATTCTTGCCTAAAAACCTCTTAAAACTACATTCTGTGACACAAAAACATTATTATTTATAAAATTATAGTGGATTTGGGTGTCCACCATGATACTCGCTAAATACCGCAAGCCGAGTGATACAAACGGTGAAATAGTTGGAGTTCTGTTATCACTAGAATATCGCACTGCTGGAAAAAGATTAGAGGACCAGAGAGAACTGCTGCATTTGTGTTGTAATACATGATGCAGTAAAATGACAAAAACACATTTTATTACTAAAAATGTAATTAAAATTAAAATGAAAGCAGAAAATAAAAATAATATTGTATTCAAAATATTAACCACACCAATAATATATATCAGTGATACTAAAATAACACTCAAGTGGTTCGAGTGCCACATAATCTTTTCTTCTCACTTAACTTTTCATGTTTTCTTATTTAAAAAAAAAGTCTTGTTTGATATATAATAAAATGACATTCATTAAGTGGGACAACAGTGTCCAAATTTTTGAGGCCTCTATAAACACAGCAGTTCTATTGCAACATTACAGAAAAACACTAATTTATGTTTGAAATAAGCAGCGGTGTAATGTAACGAAGTAATAATACTTCGTTATAGTACTTAAGTATTTTTTGGGAGTATCTGTACTTTACTTGAGTTTTTATATTTCAGCCAACTTTTACTTTTACTCCACTACATTTCCTAATTAAAATGTATACTTTTAAGGTCATTGCACACTGAGTCTGAAAATTTCATCCGAAATTTTCGCACGTTAAAAAATAAATGCGACCTCACGTTATGTCAATCACGTTTACACACTGCCTCAAAAATATTCGTCCGTCACAAAAAAATTCGGATCTGGTTTTTTCGCATCCGTAGCAAGCATTTTGAGAGGTTTTTTGACAGTTCAGAGCCACCTTACAAGCGAACGCCAAAATCCAGAATGGCGATTGTCAAGTTCATCCACTTCATCTCGCAGCGCAAAGCACTGTATATAGATCCTTGCACACTGAGTTCACAGAAATAGGTGGTTTTCTTTTTAATATGTGGCTCTAGTATCGCTAGCAAAAGCATCAAACTGAGCCACTGACATCCTGAAGTAAGCTTTGAACTCTCCTTCCTCTCTATATCTCAGGATTGGATGGACCCAATGTTTCTTTTCTTTTTCTTTTTTTAAGAAGCGAGAGGACAACAAAATCATCCTCACTGCTTGAAGACTCCATGTAGTGCTGTTTTGCGAATTTTTTCGCAACGGATTAATTAATACGCATCGGACTCAGTGTGCAAGGTTTCTGTGCGTGA